GCGCCTCTTCGACCTGCTGGTGCGACCTCGTCCCCTGAAAGTCCTTTGGGCTCCGTGCCGATTCGCTGGCTTGCTGCTGTTTGGAGCAAGGGTGGGGTAGAGTGCAATGCGGTGACAGTCAGGACGGGCATGGGGGAGATGAAGCTGATCAATATGACACACTGTGAGTCAGTGGCAGTGGTGGGATGCTGTGCAACCAGGTGCTACCAGGTACAGCACACAATACCCAGCAGGCAGGCAAGGCAGTGGATGCACGGAGCAGTAACAGCCTGTATGGATGACACGCTGCATCTCTCTGACCTCCTGCTGCATCCATGGCCCCGCAGGGTTGTCTCGCTGGGCTCCTACCTATTAGCTCGCCCGCTGCTGTCTGTAGCAGCCGTGGGGAGTGCAATGCGTGATGGTTGGAACAGGTATGGGGGAGATAAAGCTGGTGCATCTGACACACAGTGAGTGGCCGTGACTGGGATGCAGTGTTACGAGGTGCTACCAGGAACCACCAGGTTTCACTAGGTATGGCATTGTATAAAGTACTATCATATCAGTATGGTTAGTGGAAGTGCAAGCTGCAATTATGCTACATGTGAGGTTGTTGAAGTGTGAAAGTGGATGTTGCGGTGGAGGATTGCGGTTGTTGCGGTGGTTGTTCCACAGTGCAAAAAAAATACAACATACAAGCATCCACACCTAATTGAGTTGCTGCTACAGCCTGCATACTTATTGGTTGGTAACGCTAGTTGTATGTCAAGACATGTTTGATAAACAAGTGCAGATAACAGGTAAGAGGTAGGTAATTATAGCATGTGTTGTATATTTAAATTAAGCGTAAGGTCAACTTTATCCAGCGTTCAAGCTTACATGTTTGCGTATGGCTAAATTATTTCCTGGAAAACGTTCACTATGTTCGGAAATCACATACAAGAATGTTTTTGGAAGATTCCGTATATTTCATCAAGCATATCTTCAGGTTGAACTACAAAGATTTGGATTTGAGCCAGTTTTGCGTAGAGGCAAAGTGGCTTAAATTTTTAAATTCTGCAGTTGTATGTGTTCAAAGATATGCTTGATGTTTGATGGATCTGTAAATAACTTTTAAGCATACTTATTTGACATTTCCGAACATGGTGTGCGTCTTCTCATTCAAGAGACATATCCGGCAAAATATGTCGATTGTCTCAATGATTTCTGTGGAATATTCTGACCTTACGGCAACAGCAATCATGCCTTACCTGGTTCCCACCCTTCTTGCCCCAATTTTGCCGCTCCCACCCTACCACCAGGTTTGACCGTTACCTGCGCATTCACTACTTGCACACCTGCGAATTCCCCATCCCCGTTCTCCCTCCATCTCTTATCACATCTCCCTCCGTCCCCTTATCCCACCACCAAGGCTGGATCATTACCTGCGCATTTACCACCTGCTCACTCGCCACCTAGTGGCTAAGGTGCGTCCAGCTTACTACTGGTGGGGCTTCTTGTGAGTCAACTCACACCCTCTATGTATTGAAGGCGCCCTTGCGAGAGTTCGGTTGTGGTTGTGGCCCTTACTAGCAGGGCTCAACTGTGGTAGATACCTGGATAATTGAGAAACACTGCTGAATATGCATTGTGATCGCCGTTCAATTGATTGCACAGCCACGGCAAACGAGGGTCGACGCTGCCTCTATGAATTTCTCTAAAACTTTAATATTCTTCGTCTTGCTATTGCCCGTCACTCCTTCCTGCCTCGCTTCTCTCTGCGTGTCTCAGCTGCCAGGTGTTTTTTTAACTAATCAGAGTTTAGTTTATTGTGCTTCTTACTACAAGGAGTGCAGTTTCTAATTTAACATTTTTCCATGTCTGCTTCTGTGCTTGCATTCCCTCCAGATGTTTCTAAAGCAGCCACTCAAATTCCTCCCCTTCCTGCCAGAAGGTACAACCTCAGGGACTGGTGACACATCTGTCAGAATGTTATGATCTAGCCTGTAGTGGGGTGCTCTATAGCGAGTACAACCCTTCTAGGGTTTGCTATTTGTATCCCCATTCTTACTAGTGCAACCCCTCCTTTGTTCATTTCTTGCTTGCCTAGCTAGGTCAACCCTAGCTATGGCTTCTCACTGTCCTTACTATCTTGACATGGTATCAGAGCGGTTACGCTCCTGTCCTGTGGGCCCACCACTTCACTGCTTCCGCTGCTACTGCTACTCCCTGTCCGCCGCGCGCCTCGTGGTACGCGGCGTTGAAATTAGGGTTTTCAGCCCGCCGTGCGCCCCGAGGCGCGCGGCGGTTTTCTGCCCGCCGTGCGCCCCGAGGCGCGCGGCGGTTCTCTGCCCGCCGTGCGCCCCGAGGCGCGCGGCGGGTTTCTGCCCCGTCACACCGCGCGTTGCTCCCGGGAGGCGCTGCGACGGGCGACGGGGACCCGCGCGTCGCCCCCCGTCGCCCGTCGTGGCCTGCGCGCGGCCCGTACAGCCGGCGCGCGGCCCGTACGGGCTGCGCCAGGCCCGCGCGCGGCTCGGGCCGCCTGCGCGCGGTTCGGGAGGCTGTGCCAGACCCGTGGGCGGCCCGTTCTTCGCTGCCCCTGTCCTCCCCGCTGTCCCCCGTGCTTCTGAAGGCGCCCCACCCCTCCTTCTGCCCGTACTCCTGGATTAGGGTTTGGGGGTGGGGGGTATGGGGGTGCAGCTTCTGTGTGCCGTCCCTTGCTCCTCCTCCTCCTCCGTCTCCCTGTGCTGCAGCTGCCGCTGAGGGGGGTGGACCTGTTGGAGCCGTCGGAGTGGTACTAAGGGGGGGTGAAGGGGGAGTGGAGCTAGCGGTGTAGCAGCGGGTGTGTGTCAGGGGGAGTGGGATAGTTTGGGGAGGTTGAAGGGGGTGGCCGCCGTGAAGCCAGCAGCTCCAGTCGCCCGTGAGACCGTTGCGCCAGTCGCCCGTGAGCCCGTTGCGCCAGTCGCCCGTGAGCCCGTTGCTCCAGTCGCCCGTGAGTCCGTTGCTCGTCTGCCGCTACTTTCAGCCGCGGAGCCAGTTACTCCAGTAGCCCGTGTGCCAGTTGCTCCAGTTGCCAGTGTGCCAGTTGCTCCAGTTGCCCGTGTGCCAGTTGCTCCAGTTGCGCCGTGTGCCAGCAGCTTCAGCTGCCGCCCACTACCTCCTCTCCTCTCATAGTCTCTTTCCTCCTCCTCACTTGCCCGTTGTGACTACCACTGGCTTTGCTCATAATTGTGAACTTTAAACTATTGCTTCTTGAACTTGTGCTCAGAATGTGTGGTGACATTGTGATCCACCCTGAGCTTGTACTGTTTTGCTTGCTCTGCTGATTACACCCCACTTTGGCTATGGGGGTGTGTCAGAATATTATGCTCTAGCCTGTAGTGGGGTGCTCTATAGCGAGTACAACCCTTCTAGGGTTTGCTATTTGTATCCCCATTCTTACTAGTGCAACCCCTCCTTTGTTCATTTCTTGCTTGCCTAGCTAGGTCAACCCTAGCTATGGCTTCTCACTGTCCTTACTATCTTGACAACATCAGAGGCAGAGAAGGCACCAGCTGAGGCAGCAAGACCCCAGCCCACACTAGCAGAGGGGGGGGGGGGGGGGGGAAGCAAGGTTGTGGCAACTTGCAGTGCAGCAAGCAAGGGGTTTAGAAAGGCGCCATGGAAGGCTGGGTAGAAAGGTGCGAGCGATGCTGGTGGGTGTGAGTGCAGCAAGCAAGCTGCTAGATGGATGTGAGTAAGCCACCAGCTAGAGGCATCAAGTGCAGCAGCTGGAAGGTCCCAGCCCACACCAACAGAGTGTGGGGAAAGCAAATCTGTGACAGCTGGCAGCAGTGTGGCAGGGAAAGAATTTGGAAGGGCGGCAAGCGAGGCAGGGAGGAATGGTGTAAGTGGTGCTTGTGGTAGAAAGCGTAACAAGCCCAGCAATCAGGCAGTTTGATGGGTGGAGCGATGGAAGGTAGGCTTGCTGGTGTAAGTTTTAGTTCCTTACCAGCTGCCCGTGTGCCCCTGAATGCTCAAGAGCCAAGCCATCAGGGTTGCCTTGAGAGTACTTTTCACTTTCACTACCACTGACTTGCAGGGTTTGTAACACCAAATTAGAAGAGGATGACAGCCGGTGCAACTTGTATGAAGCCCTGGAAATTGAGGGAAATTATATCTGCGAAACTCTGATTGTTCCCAGTCACGAAGAAGTTAGTGGAAGTGATGATCCCGGGGAAGGGGTATAAGGAGAAATGTCAACTCATAGTAGCTTAGCAACATAATTTGACACTCCCACGATCCCTTGAGATGTCTCAGAAGCCATGCTACTTCATACAGTGGCAACTGTCAATCGAGCCCATGCACTTCAACAGCAGTCTCCCCGCACCCCCACATCTTCCACAACAGCACAAACCTCGGCAGTTGGACTTACGAACCAAGCCATGCCTCTCATCTTCCTGTGGGAGCTGGGATGCCCTCCCATTCCAACAGCGCTCCCTCTGAGACACTACTACCAGAATTCGCCCCAGCCCCTTCCACTTACACACTTACAGCTCAACAACACCCCCGTCCCCATGTTTTGCAGGCACAGCAGACCACTGCTTCGCCCACACACCTCCCGCTCTCAGCATCCCCTCCCGCTCTCAGCATCCTCTCCCGCATTGCCTTAACCAGCACAATCTGCCCCAGGAGCCATGCCACACCTTGCACCGTGAACATCTTCCCCACTCCAACAACAAGCCCTTCCACTACACGTGAATCTTAGCAGCTCCAGAATTACTCCCTGCCGGTGGAGCACTCCATGCTCCCTGCCTCAGAAACGCCTCCTCCACTTCCAATGCTGCCGCCGCTGCCTTCTTTCCTGCTTCCCCACGCCCTTTTGTCAGTCAGAACTAATCACACAATAAGCCCAAACTGGTTCATGTCAAACACCATGTGAACGGTTAGAAACCTAGCACTAACTGCCTACTGTGTCCCACAACACTCTCTTAACACGAGGCCAACAGAAGATCGGCGATGCCCCAAGCCCCCCTTTCTCCTCCACCTCCCAGCCAACCTCATTAAGGAAAATAGCTCCCGGCGAGGCCAGCTCTCCGCATCTTCTTCCTCTCAATCAAACCTTCGATGGTCCTATCCACCATATCTACAAACGTACCCTCCTCTCCCACCTCCCCCTCTCTCGTATGATCCCTTACAAGCAGGCTCGGGATGTGTCTATAAAGCTCTTCCCTCATCTCCCTCTTCCTCTCCTCCGATATTCCCGCCAGCACCTCTCCAATCCGAACCTTCCGCCCAATCACATCATCCGATTCCACCATCACTGACACGTTCCTCCGAGCCTCAGGTCCAGGAGCGAAGAACCAGGGGTACTGTAGATCAAACGTGCCTTCAGTAAACACGACAGGGATGCACCCCGATATGATCGAGTCAAAGAACGACCTTCTAGTGAGGCTGTCCCCTAGAGGTTGCAGGCAAAACTCGGACTGAAGCATCACACCAGCCACTCTCCTAGGATCCATGCATCCCCTCAGGGGGAAATCTGGCTCAATCTCATTCTCCTCCTCCTTCCCCTCCTCCTTTCGTTTCTGCGCCTGCCTGCCTATCTCCACCGCTGCTGCAGTCGCGGCCTCCGCGTCAGCAACAGTACACTCTAAGAAGATGCACCTCTTAGGATCGTTCTCACACTCGTTCAGCAAGACGCCTCTTAACGAGCCCTCCCATGTCGCATGCGCTCGCTTCCCGCCCACAAACGAGTACAGATACGGCCGAGGCTGCTCCCGAACATGCCGAACCCACCCCTCCAGGTCGGCCGAGCCTACAGGATGGAAACAGGTCGTGTAAGGAACAGAAAAGACTTCCCGTTCAAGCCACTCCGTAGGAGCCTCCACTGTAAGAAGTGTGACATTATTGAAGGTAGGTCGCCACCACAGATCAGTCCCCCACCCGTCAGGCTTATCCAGTACGCGAATGAAGTCCCAGATCGGACGGCCGAGAACGAGCACGTGGTCGCCACGATTCACGAGCCTCTTGAAGTCCGCATTCTCCAATAAGAACCTCTCAAGGTCAGCCACGGGTTCGTCTCGCTTCACGAAGAGCCCGTGTTCTACGAGCGACCAAATCATCCAACCTAGGTACGCCGGGATGAACAAGAGATCTGCCGAGTCTGGGTCGGAGGTTCGGCAGGGGTGCTGCAGGAGACGCGAGTGGAAAATGAGAGCTAAATTGAAGTTCTCGGTGGCGTACCACTTATTTCTCCAACCCTCGCCACTCTCCGCCGCTACACTGCTGCCGCGCTTGCCGTCGCTGATGCTGCTGATTGAAAGCAGCCGTCGAGACCCATCAGGTTTCACTTTGATGCTCCTGCTGCTAATTTTCCCGCTGTGGCTTGTTGCTGCTTCTGCTGCTGCTGCTGCTGCCGCTGCTGCCGCCGCTGCTACTAGCAGCACGGCTGCTGGGAGCCTTTCCTTCGAACTCTTCGTCCCAGGGAAGCAGTCTGGTTCCCAGCCCGCCGTGCCGGCTGGTGGCGCAGAAGCCCTTGATGTTGGTGCCCAGGCAGTCGTCCAGCAGCACGCGGTTCAATCGAGGGGGTAACTCGTATACATACACCTTCCGACCCTCGCACGCTTCCGATTCTAGACCCCCGCCTTTGCGAGTGATACTCCCGCGGGGTTTCCGCGCGTCATCCTCGTTTCTCGGCCCACGGGTATCCGTCCTCGTGTTTCGCGCGCTTACTATGCTGCTACTCAGGTTCCCCGAATCGCCTTTTTCTTTCGTCTTCGCAAGTAGCTCCTGCTCTCGCTTCTGCCGTTGCTCCTGAGACTCCCATCCCAGCTGCGACCGTTGATCCTGCTTTTTCTGTTGATGCGCATCCTGCTGATCCTGCTGACCCTGCTGGTTCTGTTGCCATGTTTCCTCTGGGTCCGGGTCGCTCGATTTTTCTCCCAACTCTTCCACCCGAACGAGTGGATGTGAAACCTCCGTGCGTCTGTGCAGTTCCTTCGCATCAAAAGACGGAGACGAGATTGGTGACCTAAGCGAAGGGCCGAGAGCTACGAAGTAGAGGACCAGCAGAAGCACCCCGATTGTGGAACATGTGGTCGAGGAGAAAGGGAAGCACAGCGTCGAGACACGGTCTCGATGGTGTCCCATCACTGACTGCGTCCCTGCTGCGTCCAGCACTTGTAAATCGCGGAACAAATGAATAAATGATGTACGGCGTAGACCGTACAGCAGGAGCTAGTAAGGCACCTAGTACAATGAACCCACTTCAGGTTCGGCTTTCTCAGAACTTGTATTTGGGTTGGGAAGGGCCTCTGCGAATGGTCAGCCCCCAGCGAGCAGCTGAACGCTGCGCAGCGACGGTGCCGGCAGCGCAGTTACCGGTGGGGTAAGGACGAGTCATAAGTAAAATATCGAGGAAGGATCAGGGTTGTTCACCGAACCTGTCAAACCGATCGCCATATCGGTGTGTCACGACTGCTTTGAAGTTTCAAGTGACACGGTCGTAAAAACATGGGGCAAAATTGCCCGATGTGGACGAAATTGCACGATCGATGTGTGACAGGGGCACATCGATCGCCTGACTTAGAAGGGAAAACTGTACGTTAGCGAAAATAAACGAAAATGTGTAACCACCTAAACACCGATTAGAGGCAGGATCGATTTTCTACTTGTGACGCGTCCTAAGAGCCGTGGCTGCACATCACGAAACCACACATCGACCCAATCAAAGAAGCTGATTGGCTAACTCGGACCGTGGATTTCGTCAAGAGAAGTTTCGAGCTCGAACCATATACAGTAAACGTCTCTTGGCGAAATCTACGCGGTTCGGCGCTCCAACCACATATAAACGTCTCGACACGAGCAACGCCCTAATTTGCGGCAAGTGCATCCCAAAAGCTTGTAAAGGCATGCTGCAATATGAAATGTTACAGAACAACTAACAATAGTTATTACGACTTGCTTTTACAGTTGATATTGTTCTGTAAATTAACAAAGTGTGCCTGGTATGCCACTTTGTAAATAACAAAGTGTTAGAGACTAATTAGTGTTCTTATGGATATCAAAAGGAAAAGCATTAGCGTTCATTTCTACTAGCAGCAAGAACGAGTCACACGGAAAAGAGTACGATGTCGAAAGTGTACGTACAATTGCAAAGTTTTTGGAACGTCGGAGCAGACAGCATCGAGCAGCTGCAGGAACGAGGACCGTTTCGTAACTGTCCTACGCTGCACGGTTGGGTTGGAATTCTGTTACAATCTGAAGATCGTCTCAAGTTGATCGCACGTAGTATAGCAGCGAAAGGCGTGCTAGTAGTGGTCGGGTTCGGACCCTGTCAGAAGAGGGAGATTTGAATCTCCACAAAAGTGACTACCGTCATCTCCCGGTTAGAAGACCCGGGGGTCTTATCTCAAATGTGCCAAAAATGGGTTGTGGGGTCTTCTGTGATGGCATATAGTACCGTAAAGTGCCACCTATAGGACCCGGGGGACTCTCTACAAATGCTTGGAAAGGTGCTAGGGGGACCCTCTGGCGGATGCAAAATTTTAAGACCCGGGGTACACTTATTTATCAACTATCATTCTGTTCTTTAGGGTGTACGGCTTAATTCGGGGCGGGGGGGTCTTATATTTATAAAAAAAAACGGCATTCGTGGGCGGATTTCGCGCGAGCGGCGCGTCAGATCTGTGTCAGAATTCGAGTCTGACACAAACAAAGTGCCGGAATTCGAGTCTGACACAAACAAAGTGTCAGAATTCAAGTTTCTGTCAATAAAAGCTGACTCACAATAGCAACTACAACTACTGTATACACGAAAGGGGGGTCTTATGATGATTAGGGGCAGAAAGGGGGTCCTCACAAATCCTGCCCAAATAAGAGTCCCTCTGCTCCTTCAAGAGTCCCGGGGACCCTCTTACCGGCGGGTCCTATAGGTGGCACTTTACGGTACATAAGACTTCTGCACATCTATTAATTACCAAAAAATGGATTGTGTAGAGTGTAGTGTTGAAGAAATTCGAAAAATTCTGTACTGAATTTTGAATTCCTTCACAGCGCGGAAATTTGTTCTCAGATTCTCGCACTCGAGTCTCGGTGATTCCTATCCGCACGTTCTGTAATGCCGAATAATGACATGCACGTCAGCAATTCTTGCCTGAAGGGCGGCAAAAACGCGTGATTGATGCGGCATCTTGACTCCCTTGACCACAAATTCGTCTGACAAAGTGAATTTGGTGGTTTTTTGTGTGACTCGCTAACCAGCTCATGAACTAAACACCACTCATGATAGCACGTTGCAAAAGAGGGGGGGTCTTATATTTAATATGGTCAAAAGACGGGTCCTCTACAGGAATGACATAATAAAATACCCCTGGTCCGGATAAAGGACCTAGGGGCTTGTATGCGGGGGGGGGTCTTCTTGCCGGGAGATTACGGTAATACAATGCGGTACAGGGGTTTATATAGGAATACCATGGAATACGAAATGAATTAACTAGCCATATACTCTGAGAAGGTACATTTTGTCATATGTTGTAGCATGCATTGCGACATATAATGTGGGGTAAAGTTCTTAGGGTTAGGCATATGTACGCAAACTCACAGTAATACTATCCATCATTTCCGTTCTTGAAATGGTATCTATCAGAAATGGGAAGCTAGAATGGACGAACCATGAAAGAGTTTGGTACAAATAGAAACCCTAAAGGGGTTGTACCAGGGCCTCAGATGTCAGAGAAAAAAGGCTGATATATGCTTTGGAGGCTGATTTTTCAGACATGTGGCCGATGTGTTGGCTGATTTTTCAGTTTTTTTTTTTTTATGTATTGGCTGATTTTTCAGTTTTTTTTTTTTTTTGGCTGTTTTTCCAGCTTTTTCTTACAAGTGTTCGCTAATTGATCAGAGTTGTAACGAGAGTGTAGGCTGAATTCACGCTATTACAGATTCGTGCAGGAGCCGTAAGTTTCGGCTGTCTAGGTACATCAACCGTCAATCACGCAAAAGTTGCCATGTCTTTGCGCCGTCGCGTGGGAAAAACAAATATTCGGGACGCGACAATTGCTTCGTTGTCACCGACTGAATGCATAAAGTGATGTGATTGGTTGTTTAACCAATCACATCCCTTATGGGCCAATCACCACCAGTGCAGCACAGCAACGCACCGCACGCACTCATGACAAGAACACCCACCTCACCCCATCTCACCCACCCCGAACCTGCATCCAAGTGCGTGCATGGTGCCCCCATGTCGCGCCGCGTTGCAGCTTTGTGGTGAGAACGAGAGGCCCTTCTTTTATGGCTCTCTCTTGATGACCCCACCGTATCCACCCACCAGGGGAGCTGCACTGTCAATCCCCCCCTCTCGCGCTGGTTTTCTCAGACACTAGCTAGCAACGTTAGAGCTCGGCACGCTCTCCCTTTTCAGCCATGGCCGACCATGTAGAAGGTTTGGCTTGCGATGACGATGCAGACATGGATAGTTGTGGTGATGAAATTGACGACTTAGAGGAAGCCAGGATGGGGCTTGACATGCTCCTGCGCTCGCTTGGCACTGGTGTCCTCGCTCCCAGGCCTCCTACTGCAAAGCCTGCTCTAGTCGAGGTGGTGAACCGCGACCACCCATCGGTTTGTTCAAGCCCGGATTCCATCCGGAGTGAGCCTCCTGCGCCGGCTGCCGTCTCCGACACCGTGGTTGTCGAGCAGCCAACAACGAAGTCCTCTGCCCCGCGCACCTTCAAGCTAAAGCAGTCGACGCTGTGCTGGGCAAAGCCATCTTCCAGCGCCGCTGTCGAGCAACCTGTCGTGAACAATACATCCCCTCGTCCATGATTGGTCATAGACATTTCCGAGGCCATTGATGCCGTCTAGGCAGATGCTCTTGTGAAGTACAAAACGAAGTGGTCAGAGAGGTTCCCGTGGCTTGTGCTAACGAAATCTAAATCCGGTTTCCCTGCGTTTAAGTGCAGTGTCTGCACCAAGCATGCAGGAGTCAGGGGACGATGCGGCCGGACAGGGTGAGGGGCGACCGACGTGCAGACGCAGGCGTTTCGCAAGCAAGCCGGTACGACGAAACACAAGCTGGCGATGGAGAAGCAGGAGGCTTTGCTGAACGCGGCTTCAAAGCAGCCACGGATGGACCAACATCGTGCCGTCGTCGATGCTGAGAAGATCCGAGTCATTGCGTTGTTCGACTCCATGCTGTTCATCAGTTCCTGCGATGCGCCCATGGGAACATGGGTGAAGCTGGTGCAGTACCTCGCGCGCAAGGGTATTCAAGGCTTCCTTGATGGTTTTTTACCTTCATTTAATATCCGGTTGTTGTTTTCCCTGCTGGCAGGTACGGCTTCGGTGAGCTCACGCAGGCCCTTGCTACCTGGCTACAGACAACTCAATTGGAGCACATCCTGACAAGCCATTTCATCGGCATCAGCATCGATGAAAGCACGGATCGGCTCAGGGGAAAGCACATGATCTTGTACGCCACGTTCGTCCGTGACAACGTCGTCGTGACCGAGTTCATGCAGCTGATCACGGTGGAAAAGGCGGACGTGTCTTCACTTCTCAGCATCCTCCTTTCCCACTTGCAGGCACTCGGTGTCGATCTGCAGCGGATTTCTGGCATTAGCACAGACGGCGCAAGGGTGATGATGGGGTCAAAGGCCGGCCTGGTTGTCCGACTGCGTCTAGAAAATCCCGCACCTTGTTTCCGTTCTCTGCATCGCTCATAGGTTAGTGTGCACGACTACTTCATTTATAGCCAGTTACGCTATATCGTATTAACTCGTTGCTAATGTTCCGAGTTTGATGTGTTCCACATGCAGGGAGGCCCTTGCAGCGAAGGATGCGGCGGAGGAGCTCCCCGTCTTCGACATGGTCGACGATCTCATCCGGGCTGTGGCCGATTTGCTGGGTCGGTCGGGTCCGCGCCACGCACGGTTCATAGATCTGCAAGAGCTGTTTACCGAAACAAGCCTTGAAGTGCAAGGCATCCACTCGGTTCGGTGGCTCTCAAGGGGGGATGCCGTCCGTCGCCTCGTCGCTGTTTTGCCGGCAGTGCTGCTGAAGGAGCTTAACAGCAAGATGTATGCTCTGGCAAGCTCTTACCGTTTTCACTTCTTCCTTTACAACTTGGCTGACGTGCTTGAGCAGCTCAACATCTTGAACAAGACCTTCCAGCAGAGAGAGGTGAGGTGGTAAGATTATATCTACGCATGTTGATCAAATAACCACTCTAACTATGTCTTTGTGTGCCTTTGTCTGTCCAACTCGATCTGGTGTCTTTGCATGCGCAGATCAAGTGGACAACCAACCACATCGAGAGCCGATACGTGGACTGCGGCGATGACTTCGGCGGTGGCATGAGCCATTGGCTGTCACCTTTCCTGGAGCGACATGGCCCGGGGTGTAACCGCGAAGTGAAGGTTGAAGGTGTCGACAGCGATAGCCGACCATCTTCCTTCACGTTCACCCTTCACGACGAGCCCGTGGACTCGTACAGCGGCCCGGAGGACCACGACGGCTGCATCCAGATGTGCACTGAGTTCACAGAGAAGATCGTGGCGAACCTGGAGGGAAGGCTCGGTGACCTCGACTCACTCTCTGGAGTCTGCCTGTTCACGCTTGATGCATGGCCACAAAGCAAGTCGGAGCGGAGTGCTCGATGCCAGGAGTGGCTTCACTCGCTGGTGACGATGTTCAAGGCTCAGGACCGTGAGGAGATCTTGCCAGGTCCGTTATGTGTCATTTGTAATGTCATGATTTCATCCCAATGCTTGAAAATCATTTGTGCTGTTTGCTCATTTGCTTATTCTTCTCCCTCCCTCCCTCCAGGCATCAACAAGAGGCTGGCAGGCAAGGAGCTTTGCCTCTTTTGTTCAGTCCTTGCACGTGCCCCTAAGGAAGAGAGGAGCTTCCACAGCGGACTAACGGCGATGCTCAAGACGCCTGATTGGCGGGAGAGCTACCCCAATCTGGTGCAGCTCTGGTTGGCGGTGGCTGTGATTCCCCTCAGCACAGTGGAATGTGAAAGGGTATTCACCCGACAAAACGTGATCAAGACATGGCGGTGATGTGGGATCAAGGACGCGAGGCTGGGGGACCTCATGTGTATGTCCCTCATGCAGTACGAGCCGAACTACAATGAGGTAGTTGAGATCTGGCGGAGTTATAAGAAGCGGAAGCCTTTCAGCAATGCTCCCATCTGCACCCAAACCCCAGGCGACAACAACAAGAAGGGCAAGCATGACGACGATGATGAGGAGGAGCCAGTAGGAGATGCAGTAGATAGTTCTAGTGATGAAGATGATGAGATGAGCAGCTAAAATCATGTAGTGTTTCCTTGTTTGTTAGGCCTGCTAAATTTAATGAACTTATAGTGCTTTAGCATAGATCAGCCTTTGTAGTGAGGCTGATTTGTCAGCGATTTTTTTGGGGACTAGTCTGAAATTTCAGCATTTTTTATTGGAAACAACTCTGATTGGTCAGCCTAGCGTAGCCTGGTAAGGCTGACGTATCAGCCTAGGAAAAACGAATATGAAACCCTAATGGGGTTGTACCCCATATTGGCTATCCCACTACAACCTACAGAGAATAATATAACAGATATGGTTTGACACACCCCCATAGGCAAAGTGGGGGAGAACAAGGGGTCACAAGACCAGTCAAGAAAAGCAAAGCAAGCTCAGGGTGGATCACAACGTCACCACACACTCCGAGCACAAGCAAAGGGCCACAAGACCAGTTCACATGCAGAGGTATATATGCAACAACAACAGTACAGTGATCACTACCTAGCAAGAGCAAGCATGCAGGTGTGTATATATATCACAATACAAGTAAAGTCACGAAGTGAGCAAGTGAGACGAAACAGGCACAAGGCCTAATATAGTACACAGGCGCCGATGATCACCAGACGGAAGTGCCTTGGTGAATATATCAGCAGTGTTGGCCCGAGTGGCCACGTGGGTAAGACGAAGCTGACCCCGCTGCTGCAACTCTCGAGCCAGGAAGTAACGCAGAGCAATGTGCTTCGTTCTATGCTCAACTGGAGGGGAACGAGGCCGCTCTCCCAAGTCAGTCAGCAGGTAGGTAAGCCAGCGTAACTCCTGTGCAGCCATGGCTGTGGCGTAGATCTCAGCCTCACAACTGGAGCTGAGAACAGAAGACGAGCGAGTAGACCGCCAAGAAACAGAACCGGAGCCAAGGCTGAATGTGTAACCCTGTGACGACCGCTGCGTAGCCAGGTCGTCAACCCAAGACGCGTCTGAGTGTCCAGTGAGGACAACCTCACCCCGTCCTCCAAGCACGAGCCCCATGCCCGATGTACTGCACAAGTAGCGCAACACCCTCTTAGCAGCCTCCCAGTGCTCTTGTCAGTGTCTCCCAGGCGCAACGTAGCGAGCCAGGATGCTAAGAGGGTAGGCAAGGTCAGGTCGAGTGCAGGTCATCAGGTACATGAGGCAGCCCACAAGCTCTAGATACGGGCCACTCGGCTCTACGGAATCGTCCGAAGGTGGAGCTGAGAGCGAGTGACCGGTAGCCATAGGAGTGGACTGTGGCGAGGACCAAGTGAAGCCGAAGCGCTGAAGGACCTGCTGCACCATGTGTGACTGAGTCAGGGTGATGGTGCGCCGTGCTTTGTCCCGGGTGATCTGCAAGCCAAGGTAGCTGCGCAGCTCACCCAGGTGTGTGCACGTGTGTCTCTTCTGCAGCTCCGACTTCACAAGGGCGAGTGCCTCAGTGTCAGCAGTAGCAAAGACCAAGTCGTCGACGTACACGAGGATGTAGAACGGCGGCAGCGAAGTGTCGGTGCGCAGAAACAACGACGGGTCAGCAGTCAAAGGAGCAAACCCAAGAGCCGCAAGTGTGGTCCTCAGTGTGTCGTGCCACTCACGAGGCGCCTGGCGGAGACCGTAGACTAGCCGGCGGAGGCTCCACTGGGTACCAGGAGGAAACGACCCAGTGAAGCCAGGTGGGCGGCGCAGCCAGATCTCCTCGTGCAGGCTGCCCTGTAAGAAGGCTGTGCTGAAGTCCAGTGAGTGAAGCTCGTAGTCACGCTGAGCGGCAATGTGCAGCAGCACCCGAAGAGTGGTCATCTTCGGGGTAGGGGAGAAGGTCTGGAAGAAGTCAACTCCCTGTCGCTGACTAAAGCCTCGTGCAACGTAACGAGCCTTGAAGACAGGCGGAGAACCCGGCGGCCGCTTCACCCTTAAAATCCACATGCCATCGACTATGTTCGCCCCAGGAGGGGGAACTACGTCGACGCCTGTGGACTTCCAGGATGCCATCTCTGCATCCATGGCTGTCTGCCACTGAGAGGAGTAGGGACCCAAGATCGCCTCTGCGTAAGAGCGCGGGGTCGGGATGTCTGATGCATCCGGGTCTCCCTCAGGTGCAAGCAGCATGGCCACGAGATGAGGTACAGCAGCCGCAAGTCCTCCTGCCTGTCCTCAAGGACGTTCGTGCCAAGAGCACACTCACCCCCGACGGACAGAGGACAGACAGACTCAGACTCAGCAACACGACTGGCGGCGCAGTCTAGACGACGCGCAGCAGCAAAATTCTCAAGCTCAACAACTAAGGCAGACGCAACAGCAGACTCAAACGACGGGTCAGTGACAACAGTGGCTAACAGACGCGTGTTAGTAGGGTGAGCAGCACGAAACAGGTCAGACTCAGGGTCCGGAACGTCAGGCAGAGAAGACGCAGGAGGAGACGGCAGGGGAACACGCTGTGGAACAAAGGAAGGACGAAGTGCCATAGTGTGCGTGCCGGGGACAGGAGGCGGACGCTCACGAGGAACACGACGACCAGTGCAAAGAGCGCGAACAGGCGAGGTAGGACGAGACGCAGGCTCACGGCGCTCTGTAAGCGTTCTGTCTGCTCAGGGTAAGGAGAAGGAGCAGGCAGTGGTGAGCCTGGCTGTAACGGGAGGCCAGTAGAAGACGGGAGGGTAAGAACCTGGCGAAGCACGGAGTCAGGCGGTGGCAGAGACGACGGTGATGGCGGAGCGAAGAACAGTCGCGGCTGCGCAGTGCCACCAGTACCAGTCCCACCAGCACCAGCAGCTCCAGCGCCTCCAGCAGCTCCAGAACCTCCGGTTCCAGCACCTCCAGCTCCAGCACCTCCAGCTCCAGCGCCACCAGCAGCAGCACCCCCAGAACCAGCACCTCCAGCTCCAGGGTCTCCAACTCAAGAGTTGACAAATCCAGCTCCAGAGTCTCCAGCTCCAGTGTCTCCAGCAACAGCACCCCCAGAACCAGCACCTCCAGCTCCAGAGTCTTCAACTCTAGGGTCGACAGCACCAGCTCCAGGGCCTCCAGCCCCAGTACCTCCAGCAGCTGCACCCCCAGAACGGACACCTCCAGCTCCAAGGCCTCCAGGTCGAGTACCTCCAGCAGCAGGACCTCCAGCTCCAGCAGCACGACTCCTCAGGCTGGCGCGCCACGCAAGCCACTCGCGCAGCTGCTGTGGTGAGAGAGGCCCCCGTCGTGAGGAGAGACCCAGAGGAACACCAGCAGACTCAGCACCCCCCGACCTGGCACCCTCCGGCTCAGCACCTCCAGTCTCCGCGCTTGTAGGCTCAGCACCCTCAGGCTCCGCACTCGTAGGCTCAGCACCCCCAGGCTCCGCACTCGCAGGCTCAGCGCCCCCAAGCTCCGCAACCCCCAGCACCACCCGCAGCAGCACCTGAGTCGCTAGTGACCTCTAAAGAGGCTCAGCCAAGGGGAGTGGGTCTACCTGAGACACACCTGAAGGAGCAGGACCCTGAGGGGGAAGGGGGTCTACCGGAGGGACCTGGAGTGAGGAAAATCGGCAAGGAGGCAGAGGAGCAGTGCGGTAGGGGAAGAGACGGTAGAAAGGAACCGACTCGTCAAACGTGACGTCCTGAGAGGACAGGACACGGCGCAAGGTGGGGTGGTAAAACTGCCAGCCAGGAGCGTCGGGGGGGAAGCCGAGGAAGACACAAGGATTGGTGCGAGAGGAGAGCTTGTCCGCGGACGTATCGCGGACAAGGGCACGAGCACCCCAGACCCGAAACACCGACGCATCGCCAACCTCTCCCGTCCAACGCAGTGTGGGCGAGGTCTCCGGCAAGGAGACACGTGGCCAGAGTTTGAGCTGCTGCGTAGCGTACCGGACCGCAAACGGCCACAGAAAATGGGGAGCCGCCGCATGGATCAAGGAGGTACGAGCGATCTCCATGACCAAGCCAATGCGGCGCTCAGCAACCCCATTCTGCTGCGGTGAGCCCGGAAGCGTGAACGACTGGAGGATGCCCTCCCCCTGACAGAAGGCCCGCAAGAGGTTGGAGGAGAACTCACCACCTCTGTCGGAGTGTAGTCGCAGGACAGGAAGGTCCGTCTGGAACCTGCGGCGGAGCTGGAGACGAGCTGCGTGGATCCGAGGGATCAAGACAGCAGGGACCTCACCCTTGGTGCGCAAGGGGAAGACCGTGGTGTAACGCGAGTAGTCCTCGACAACTAGCAGAAAGTACCGCTCGCCGCCCTGTCCACAAACGCGGGCTGGGCCCCACACGTCCATGTGGAGGGTCTGCAGAGGAGCCTCTGTCGGGGGAAACGAGGAGGAGTGAGGAGCGGCGCGCTGCCGCCCCTCGACACAAGGAAGGCAAGGCGGCGCAGGCGAGGAAGGGAGGGGAGGGAGAGACCTGGGAACACCTGACACAAGGAGGCGATGGTGCATGCTACGTAGACGTGGCAAGGAGGGGTGACCCAGACGGTGGTGCCAGAGAAGAGTCTGGTGTGACAGGGAGCGACACAAACAAGGGGAGGCTACCAGACCTGACGCAGACACCTGACCAGTAGCAGCTACCTGAGGAGGCGCAGTCGTCAGTGTGTAAAGGCTCGACCCTGGCCGACGGGTAAAAAGTGGCCAGGTGACGGCCCGTCCGGGCACACGTGCGGATCGCCACACGCTGTCCTCCAGGGGTAAAGGTATTAACCAATTCATCTTGGAGGAATGCGTCGCTCACCAAGTTCGTAGAGAACGAGGGGAGGTGGAGGCCTGACAGTGAGCCAGACGGAACCGCGGGGCACGGGAGCACAGTGGTGGACCGTGCAAGAACTGGGCCCCCTGAGGGGTCAACCAGAGAGAATGCCTCAGGCGCAGTGAGTGGTGTGAGTGGAGTATTGTCACGAAAGAAACAACGGGAAGCACCTGAGTCAATCGTTAAAGTGTGCAAGGCCTCAGCAGGCGCAGTACCTGAGAGAGCAGACTCGCTAGCACCTAGGGCAGCGGGCTCTATACCTAGGTCAGGCGGCACACACAAGTAACAGTCACCGTCAGCACTAACCTCCAATGCATACATGGCAGCAATAATAGCATCATAGTCAAGAGCAAAGATGTCTACACCAGCCCTAAGCAGCTCATGCAAGTGAGGGCGCTCAACCTCCTCGCCCATCTCCTCACAACACATCATCAAGGCGGGAGAAGCAGCGGTGCTGGGTGTGAAACTTGTTGCATGTCCGACCCTTGCGGTCACCTGTGCGAATGACATACGGGCAGCGACCACTACCCCCAGACGTCCCACGCTGAGCAAGCCACTCACGAAGCTGCCGGGATGTATGGGGACGCTGCTGCTGCTGCTGTCTCTGGCCAGCGCCAGCGCCTCCATCGCCGCCGCCACCGCCGCCGCCACCACCCCCCTGGCCGCCACCGCCGCCGCCACCACCCCCCTGGCCGCCACCGCCGCCGCCACCGCCGCCGCCACCCCCTCCGCCGCCACTACCGACGCTACCACTCCCGCTAGCACTCCCGCCACCACTCCCTCCGCCACCTCCTCCTCCTCCACCGCCTCCACCACCACCCCCCCCGGTGCCACCTCCGCTACCCTTGGCTCCCTTGCCCTTGCCGTTGCGGCGCCTCCCACTAGGAGCAGAAGCAGCACCAGCAGACTCAGCACCAAGGAAGTCAACAGCAGCAGCAGTAGCGAAGGAGGGGGCGAGGGAGAGGGAGAGCTCCCGTCAAATAGGGGGGTGCGAGGAGCGCCACGAGCAGCACCTACAGCGACAATGCTCTTCTCTGCTGCAAGGAGTCGCTCCTCTAGGAGGTCGACAGTGAGCTCGGTGGGACAGCGAGCGAGAAAGTGGTCCCTGACCGAGAGTCAGGTAGACGGGATACGATGAAGTGGAGGGTCCAGTACATCGGAGGCGGGTTCGTAGCTACGAAGTCTTTGGGGAGGGCGGCGCGAAGGCGAGTGTCACTAGTGCGAAGGTGGGTGATGAGATCGGCAACTATGTCAAAGGTGGACAGCCCAGGAAACAGGTAGGGCAGCATAAGGCGGCTAAGCTCAGAAGTGGCAGGGGAGGTGTAGCGAGCAACTACAGCGTCGTACAGGGCCTTAGCGGTTTTGTGTTTGCCAAAATGCGTGAGTTCGGCTAAAGGCAGGTGGTTGCGAACATCTAGGCGAGCAGTGGCGTCACGAGTCTGCCACTGGGAACGGGCGCTAAGCTCAGCTGTGGCAGCAGGAGCGACTGAGGCACCAGACGTGTGGTCAAAAAGCGAGACATTGTCCTTGCTATCGCTCATTAGGAACAGCTGCAGGTCATCGAGCCAGGTCTCGAACTGAATCGGGCGGCCCTCTGTGTCGAACGACAGGACGCGGAGGGTGGCCATAGCTGCTGGCGCAGGACTGGTAGGGTAGAGCGATTGCAGGTAAGTGGCAGCAGCAGGGGCGGCGCGCTGTGCTGAAGTGGGCGGACGCAGGAGGGGCTAGCGCAGAGGCAGCGCGCAGGGCCTAGCGGGTGGCCGAAGCAGTGGCAGGCGGCGCGTGGGGCACCAGGCGGCCGACAGGGCAGCAGGGCAGGCGGCACAAGGGGCTGCAGGCGGCCGGCAGGGCAGCAGGGCGGGTGGCGCGCTGGACGTAGCTGGCGGCCGCGGCTTTGGCAGGTGGCGCACGGGGCTGCGGGGCAGCGGGACGGGCGGCGCGCGGGGTGTAGTAGGCAGCCGCGGCAAGGGCAGACGGCGCGCGGGGCTACAGGCGGTCGGCATGGCAGCAGGGCGGGCCGCGCGCAGGGCATAACAGGCGGCCGCGGCAGCAGGGCGGGCGGCGCACGGGGCTGCGGGGCAGGGTGTCGGGTGGCGCGCGGGCGTAGCAGGCAGCCACGACAGGAGGGCGGGCGGCGCACGGGGCTGCGGGGCAGCACGACGGGTCGCGCGCGCGGGGCGTAGCAAGCAGGGCAGCACGCTAAAAGAAAAAAAAATGCGCGTTGTAGCAGTGGCGCGCGGTCAGCGGGGGCGGCGCGCAGGTGGCGTGTGCGAGGCAGCGCGACGCGGGGTAGGGCAGTAGGGTAACGCGGTAACCGCAATCGGAATGGTGGGCCCGAAAAAAAAACACGGTCCTACGGACCCACTGCTTTGAAACCATGTCAGAAATGAGAAGCTAGAATGGACGAACTATGAGAGAGTTTGGTACAAATAGAAACCCTAAAGGGGTTGTACCCCATATTGGCTACCCCACTACAGCCTACAGATAATAACATAACAAATATGGTTTGATAGTATCATGCTAGGTAGTTGCTTAGGATCCGTCCCGCCTGTTCCGCCCCGCAGTCCCGCCCGCATCGTCCCCTCCCTTCCCCCCCCTCCCCCCCCCCACGAATCTGCTGTAAGCGTGCTTGCGATTCGTCACGCGCGTTGCCCTTGCGAGTCGTGTCTATTGCGTCCTCCTTGTCGCGCCAGTTGCGCGCCCTGCCCGTCGCGCCCTGCGCGTCGCGCCTTGCGCCCTGCCCGTCGCGCCAAGCGCCCTGCCCGTCCGCACCCGTAGCGCCCTGCCCATCGCGTTCGGTGCCCCAAGCCCGTCCCGTCCGTGGCGCCCTGTGCATCGTGCCATGCGCACTGCCCGTCCGCGTCCCTTGTGCCCTGCTCGTCAGCGCCCTTAGCGCCCCGCCCGTTCCGCCCGTGCCCAGCGCCCTGCCCGTCGCGTCCGCGCCTACGCCCGCGCACTGCCGTGTTGCGCCTGTCCTAACTGCGCCGTGTGCCCTGCCGTCGCGTCCCGCCCTTCGTCTTGCTCGTCGTGCGCAGCGTGCCGCCCTGCTCATGCTTTCTTGGCGGCTGGTAGCCAATTCTACCTAGTCAGCTATGGCAGCGCCTGGGGTCCTGCGTTTTGATGCCGAGGGTAGGCCGTTGGAATTCTCTGTCTGGTTCCTCGTGCGCAGCGCCGGCTAGAGAGTCAGTGTCAGGCTGATGAGTTCCTGTGGGCGCACGCCTCCGGTGACCTTCTTGCGCCCTCTAATCTTAAACCACTAGGCGCTGACCCTACCACTGCGGACAGAGATCGTTTTGCACGTCAGTGCGCTGCTCTGACAGCCTGGAAGTTGCGAGATGCTGCGGCCTGCATCACCTTCAGCAGCCTCCTCCCTGAATCCGAGGCGTCCCACTTTACCTAGGTTCGCAATGCTCGCGAGTTCCTGACTGCGATTAAGGCCCGCTACTCCACTCCCACCACTGTCTCTCTTGGTCGCCTGTTCCTCCTATTCCTGTTTCTTGACCTCGCCTCGTTTAAGCGTTCTACTGACTTGATCGCTCACATGCATTTGCTGGATTCATGCTACCGCGCTGCCTGCACTGACGCACAGCTTGCACTGCTTCCTCCCCCCATGGCGATTACTATTTATTTCAATGTCACTAGCCTCCCTGACCGCCTTGCCATAGTTCGCGGCGTGCTTCTTCTAAAGCACCCTAGCAAGCTCACTATTGAGGTCCTTGAGTCTGCGCTCAAGGACGTCGAGAGCAACCTCCGCTCGGTAGCCTCTGCCTCTAGCATTGTGCCCCCCCCACTCTTCCACAGGTGCAATGTCCCACAACTGCTCACCTTCACTGCATCCCTCGCCGGTACCGCTAATGATGAGACCGCGGCTGCTGTCACGACTTCTGCGCGGCCCAGAGCTAGAGGGTGGCAGGAGGGGCGGCCAGGGTGCAGCCACAGCGGAGGCAGCGGAGGTGGCGTGGCGAGTGGCGGTGGCGGTTGTGCAGGTGTTGGTGGAGCGCCTCGTGCAGCTGGTGGAGGTGACGCTCGGGTCCGTCACGCACCTGCGGGGCTGCCAGCTGCCGGTGTTGGGGTGACAGCCTGGTACCTGGCTCAGCAGCAGCAGCAGCAGCAGCCACTGCTCTCACAGCAGCCACAGCAGCAGCAGGGTTAGCAGTAGGGTCAGAGGCACGGTTCAGGACCGCGTTAGTTGTTGCGTGGTGACGTCCACCCACCCTGACCCTACCTCATCCAGACAGGTACTCGCAGTGGCCTCCGCTGCAACCGCCGTCACCCACCGGGTCAGTGCTTTGCTCGGCTCACCGTCAGACTTCGCGCGGCCTACGGCGCAGACGGCCCTACCCCTGACTGGCTTCCCTTTGTTCTCTCGCACGGTCCCACGCTGTGGAACACGTCTACTTCTTAGTTACTTGAACTCTTAGGAACTGCAAATGTTATGTATGCTGTTGGTGACTCTAATGCTTCTGACTACGTTTGCTCGCGCGTTTTTAGCTTAGGTGCTAGTATTCATCCAGTGCCAGTTCCTAGTGTAGATACTTGCTTAGGTACTCGTCCAGGTGCTGCTCCGGCGGACGCTTCGCTGTCTTTCGCCCTAGACTCCGGAGCTTCGCAGTGTTTCTTCCGCGACCACACGACTCTTACTCCGCTTCCTCCGCCTGTCTCTATAGCACTGGCTGATCCCACTTTGGGACCAGTCATTGCTCACCACTCTATTGCGGTTCCGTGCCCCGCTGTTCCCTCTGGTTCTCTGACGGGCCTCCACACCCCCTCGTTCTGTAGGAACTTGGTGGGTGTGGGGCCGTTCGTGAGTCAGCACGTTGGTGTTTGGTTTGAGCCTTCTGGAGACTCTGCAGCGTGAATGGATGGTGACACGTACGCCCCCCAGGCCACCTTTCGCAAGGAGCCAGGCTCTGGTCTCTACACGCTTCACACTGGCCCCCGAGAGAGGCAGCAGCAGCAGCAGCAGCAGCAGCAGCAACTGCCTCCGACCATTGTCACTGTCCCCTCGCTGGTCCCAGCGTCCCACCAGGTAGTTGCGTCTGGTCAGGATGCTGCCTCTTGCTCGTGTCGGTCGCTTGCCCACCCCACCTTTTCTGTGGCACCACCGTCTTGGACACCCGTCCACTTTCCTCGCCTTTGCATTATATCTATTCAGCGTCTTGTCTTAGGCCTCCCGCTTGTCTTGCCGTCGCTGCCACCTTCGCCTGCACCGCCTTGCGGCCCTTGTGTCGAGGGTCGGCTATGCGCCACCCCTCACTCCTCCCTTCGTCCGGCCACCGAGCCCTTCGAGACTCTCCACTTGAACGTCTGGGGCCCCGCCTTTCTCCCTGGTCCTGAGTGAGAGAGTTTCTTTCTGGTGGTCGTCGACGACTACTCTCGCTACACCACCGTTTTCCCTTTGGCGAAGAAGTCCGACGTGAATTCTACGCTGATCCGGTGATTGCTCACCACAGAGGGTACTTGTCGCCGTCATGTCAGTTGTCTTCGCTCCGGCGTTCTCGCTGGATTCTGTCGCGAGCAGGGCATCTGCCAGTCTCGGACGCTTCCAATGTTCTTACGGTAGAATGGGGTTGCTGAGCGCCGCATAGGCTTGGTCATGGAGATTGCACGCACCTCCATGATCCACGCCCGTGCGCCCCATTTTTTGTGCCCCTACGCAGTTCGGTACGCCGCTCACCAGCTAAACCTCTGGCCACGTGTCTTTGGACCGGGTCCCATGGTGTTGTGTCGCGTTTTCGTGTCTCGGGTTGCTTGGCGCTTGTTTGCGACACCTCCGCGGACAAGCTCTCCCCTCGAGCCCGTCCCTGTGTCTTCCTTGGTTTCCCAGAGGACTCCTCTGACTTCACCTTCTACCACCCTCCCCTTCACCAGTTCCTTGACTCCTGTGACGTCAGTTTTGATGAGTCAGTCCCCTATTACACATGGTACCCCTGTCGAGGTCTCCCGGTTCCTCCTCCCCCTCTCTTCCTGACTCTCACTTCCCCTAATGCTCCTCCGGTACAGCCTCCCCCCCCTGGTCCAGCCCCGTCAGGTGTGTCACACGCTACCCTTCCCCTCTCGGTAGCCCCTCAGGTCCCGTCCCCTTCTCTGCAGTCCTCCGTACAGTCACCGCAACAGCTGTCAGCACTTCCTTGACAAGCTGCTGCTGACTTTGAGGGTGCTGGTGTTCGTAGCATGAACCCTGGAGGTGCTACCTCTGGCGGTGTTGGAGTTGGAGCTGAGAGAGTGCCTGTGCGATGTCATGGTGCTGGGGGTGCTGGAGTTGGAGTTGAGCCCGTGTCTGTGGGAG